GAATTATATTTCTTTTTATATATTTAAATGTTTTAAAATTTTACAAAATTTGACATGAAAATTAATAAATCTTATTTTTCTGTTAAGCTTGAATCTCAACTAGAGAAAAAAGACCAGCAATTTAAAGAGCAAGAAAAGACTATGTCCATGTTGCAGCAAGACATAATATGCAAACAGCATCATCTTGAATCACTAGACAGACTGTTGACAGAAAGCAAAAGGGTAAAACCATCTTTATAAAAATGCTTTTTAAAAGCTGAGTAGTATTTTAAGTTTATGTTTCTGTAACATACCTTTATCAGTTGTTAAACAGCACGTTAGTAATGCTAAAATATTTATAACCATACTTATATTTTTGCTTATCAATCTGTTTTCAGGAAATGGAAAAGGAAAATATGAAGAAAGATGAAGCTTTGAAAGCATTACAGAACCAAGTATCTGAAGAAACAATCAAGGTTAGGATGCGAATACTTAAAGAAATTTTAAAAAAATTTTTCTTAGCCCTGGCAGGTGGCTCAGTTAGTTGGAGCATTGTCCTATACTAGTACACCAGAAAGTTGTAGGTTTGATCCTCAGCTGGGGTGTGTATGGGAGGCAACCAATAAATGTTTCTCTCTCTTCCTCTTCTCTCTCTAAAATAAATAAAAACATATCCTTGGGTGAGGGTTAAAAAGTAAAGAAACCAGTAAAAACAATTTTTAACAAAAAAGGACCCCAATATGAATTCTGTCATTTCAAATGCTTGATCTGGTACATGCTAAGTTTTGACATAGAAGTTTATTTTAGGATTAGAAGAAGAGAAAAAACCATCATGGCCTAAAGAATTAAGTCTTTTCCGTTGGCTTTTGAGCCTTTAGGTATTCAGATTCTCATTCTGGCAGTCCTTCAGAATTCCTGAAGCATGAAAGAGTCTCTCTGCTCTCCCCTCTCCATTATGATGAGGAAGAAAAATTGTTGCTCTCCTGGTAATGGTTCATGTGCACAAAGGAGTTACTGTGTCTAAGGAGCTGAGTTCTGAGCAAGAGAACTCAGTTATGCAAAGTAATGTACTCAGAGCACCTTTCGCTTGTGGTTATGAAGGTCTTCCAAATCTGTAGGTACCCCTGGGACGTGTGGGGGAAGTTCCCAGGGAGCTGACCTGAAATTAAAATCAAGACTATGTTCTTAAAGCACAGAAACGAAAGATGAAAGGGAAGAGCAGAGCATTGGTGTGCTGGCTTTTGCTGCTGAGGTTGTATGATAATTCTCTTCCTCTTTAATGGAACTCCAGGACCTGCTGACACAACTCAAGTACAGGGCTGTGTTCTGGCCTAAACGAGCCTTTCTTGGAGCACAAAGCATCTGAGGGCTTTGTGGGTTTCTGGTGATAGAGCAGAATTTCCCCTGTGATCACAAACTCCCGAAGGGGCAGCAAGGCTCCCTGCTCTCATGTACACGTCCAGAAATCCTGCCAGCATGCGGTGTTGCCGAAATGTGGACTAGGGTGAGGCTTCCCCTGTGATCACAAACTCCCGAAGGGGCAGCAGGCTCCCTGCTCTCATGTACATGTCCAGAAATCCTGTCAGCATGCGGTGTTGCTGAAATGTGAACTAGGGTGAGGCAAGGTGAGCCATGTCAGACACCCCTGCATCTCCCCTTGCTTTGGAAGGATCATCAAGGATGATGACCCCAAACATATTTCAAGGAGCACACAGACAGGCACAGTTAACAGGGGTAAACAAGAGAGAGGCACTGGCATCTATATGAGCATCATATGTAATATGATATAGCTATGGACTTACCACAGAGTCCAGAAAAGAGAGGCCTGATCGTGTCACCCAGGGAACCCAGGTAGTTGGCTGTTTCTGGGACAAGATTGCCTGCTCTCTCACTGACCAACATCTCAACGTTTACACCCTCCCTGCACAGATTAGGTGGCGTATGTCCAGGGGAGGAGCATTGGCAACGTGTCTCCAAACGACAAAGTTTATAAAACTGAAATCCAAATCAAGTTATTGGCTAGAAAGATGGTATTCTTTCTTTAAAAGTAAAACTTGTTCAGTTCACTACTTTTTTCTTCCTTATTACATTTTGGGGCCAATTGTGCCCTAATATTTGGAGCGCTGGCAACAATGTAGGCACAGAATATGTGCACAGAGAGCTCTGATTTGTGCCAAGTTCCTTGGAACCTTAAATAATTTCTTCATGAGGTTCAAGTGATTAAATAACCGTCTACTTAATTACCACCCAGACATTTCAGTTCACCCGTGTTAGGTTGAAATGTGTATTTTGGAGCAACTCTGAATATGTTTAATATGACCAAGGATTTTTCTTTCAAATAAACGTTCTAGAGATTTTATAACTGGAGACTGTATATTTAATTTAACAAAGTAGTCATGAGCCAGGACATACAGTGAAAAATTAACGTTCAGTTTTTTTTTCTCCTTCTGTGCGTCTTTAAACCCGAGTCTGGATTTATTGACTGCTGGACTCTTTCCTCTTTCGGTTATCCTAAAAAGAAAGCTGTAAATGTACCTGTGCAGGGATGACTTTTGTAATGCACAATTCGAAAGAGCTTTAGGCATGTTCCCCTAGGCCAGCTGCATATACGTCCTTGGCAGTGACCACTGGCTAAAGTAAGTGAGGGCAGCACTGCCTTTCATAAGCAGAGCTGGTTTGTCTGCAGCAAGACTTCTGCCACAAAAGCTCCCCCCCCCCCGCCCCCCCCCCCGCAGAGGGGATCGGTGGTTCTCCTTCTCTTAATTGGCCGGTGACCTTAAACGAGAGGCAACTTTGTCAAGTGCTGAGAAACAAAAATTGTGAAGCTTATCCTTGACCTGGTCAGGGACCAATTTCAAAGAGATATAATGCCCGCGAGAGGGGAGCATGGACTGCCGTGCTCCTGGGCTGCCTCTGAGAGTGGACAGTGTCTCAGTGGCTTCTAAGAGACTGGATAGGCTGCTGCTCTGCTCTCAGGATAGAGTACTTCTGACTGACGGTGACATGAAGGTGCCATGTCCCATCAGACAGGCATCCGCCCCTGCAACCCCCATGAAAAAGAATAAAATGAACCAGGAGGAGAAGCAACATCCATGTATCTTCAAACGAAATCTCTAAGTGGACAACCCAAGAATTAGATTATCTTGGGGGGTTGCTTTGAATGATACCGAGGGAACTTTCCTTGAGTTTTACAGTCTCAACTTAATTGCTGCACTGAGTACCTTAGGTCATGTCTTACTTTGTCCCTGGTGTGTGGCACTGATTGGGTGCTTGATCAATTTTCAATTTGAAAGCATTGGCTTATCTAGTTCTCTAACCAAATATCGTTGCATTGTTGTTGGTAACGACTGTTGGTGGTGATGTTTTTGTGAGTATGTGTGTGCATGTCGGGGAAGGGAGGAGAGAGATTGAGGTTGAGATTTGGCTTAATAATTGTTAGTACAACTTTTACTGTGTGTGGTCAGGTGGTAAAACTGTCTGTAGCCTACAAAAATAGCCCATATAGTTTGCTGCTAGCAATCTTCCCAGCAGGGGAGAAATGCATCTTATCCACTAAATGGTGAGAAAGCAAGAATCTGGACTGAAGACCAGTGTTTTAGTTGTAAATCGGCCTCCCCACTAACAGCTAATTCCTGGGCCACTTTGTGATTACTGCGGCCCCCCATTTTCTCTTTCCTAAAATGAATAAGGGGAACCAGATGATCTAAGAAGAACTTTATGGCTGTGGGGCTTTTTGACTAATTGTTGAGACCCATAATAGCAAACTTACAGTCTGTGCTTATTTAGCCATAGTGGGTGGTTCTCATGAGGATGAGAACATGTGAATACACCTTGGCTCATCTCAGGAGCAGAGGCGAGTCCCCCGGAGCTTGCGCAGTTGTTGCTCTGAGGGTTTCCCACTATTGAGCACAGTGACAACAACTGCACATGACTCTCTAGATTAAATTCTACTGTAAACTCTTTATCTGTTTTCCTCTAATTATAAGAGTCATATACCCACTGTAGAAATTAAGAAAATGTACAATATTAGAAAGAAGCCTATCACAGTTCCCTTTGATGCCACTAAATAGAAGTAGCATTTAGTATATTTCCTTTTTCAGTCTTTTCCCTGTGCACAGTTTGAATAGCCAGGTACACTTACTTAAATGGATAGAATTTACTGTGCGATTTTATTTAACAAAGCAAAAGCATTTAACCAAATCATTAGGACATACCTCTTCATAAGCAGCATCATTATTATTGGCTCTGAGTAATTTGACCTAAGCCATAATATTAAGGACTAACTATTACTGAGTGTGTAATATGCTAGATACTGTGCTAAGAGCTTAACATGCTTGCTAATTCTCATAGTATCCCTATGAGATGAGGGATACCATTACCTCCTGTTTTTCAGACAAGGAAGCCAAAGCTTAGAGAAGTTCAATAACTTGCCCATGGTTACCATGTGGCACAGCTGAAATGTGAAGCCAGGTTTTTCTTATTTGTGCTATTAATCTCTGCACTATCCTATCTAATAAAAGAGAAACATGGTAATTAGCGTATGACCGCTACCCTTCCCATTGGCTAATCAGGGCAATATGCAAATTAACTGCCAGCCAAGATGGCAGCGGCAGCCAGGCAGCTTGAAACTAACATGAGGCTTGCTTGCTTCAGTGATGGAGGACTCCAACGTTCCCTGCCTGACTTGCCTGCCTCTCAGCTGCAACTCTAAGCAACTATGTTGCGAATAAAGAAGCTAAAAATACCCCAGAAACCTGCTTTACTCAGTGGAGCTTCAGCCAGCCGGACTGCAACATGGTATCAAATACAGAAGGTAAACAAAGGCCAGAAACCTGTTTTCAGCAGCCGAGTCCTCAGAGCTAAAGCTGACCCAGAATAAAAAAGAAAAAAAAAGAAAAAAAGGAGCGGTTGGGAGCTT